TTTCCATCCATTTCTATTTTTTTTTTTTTAATTTTGAGACAGAGATTCTAGGAAGTCACTAAAGTCTCCAGGCTGTGTTCAATCTTGTGATCCTTCTGACTTAGTCTCCTAGACTTCCAGTCTGCAGGCATGTGCCATCACACCTAGTTTACCTTTAATTCGTGGAGTTTACATACATAATTTTACATAGTGACAAATGATATATTTTTAGTGATTAATGATACAACATATCCATCAAAGCAAAAGTATTGCTGAGGAGAACTTAAAAACAAAACAAAGAAAAAAATCTAAAAATTTTCCAATTCAAAATGAGATCTTTTTAATTCTATTAAAATTCAAGATTGTTGAACAAAAGTAAATGTAACTTTACAATGTTTCCTTTAAGTTATGAAATTCAGCCAGAAGATAGTTTGGCCTAAAAGATACATTTTTATATCCCACTTATAATTTATAAATGAAAAATATAAAATTCCTGAGGTATCACCACAAAATATGACTACTAGTTACAAAATATGATAAATGATTGAAATACATTCTTTCAAAAGAATCAATATTGGTTTTTTTCTTATTTTTTATAACTAGATTTATTTTAAAATTGGTTTATGTCTGAGGCCCCTCAAACCTGCTTTTTCTTCTTAAATCAATAATTCAAACGAGAAGCAAAGGAAAATGAAGTAAAAGTGAAAGGATGTAACATATGAATATGAATTCTGCTCAGAAAAATATATATATTATTTACTAAGCTATGTTAGTATTAATGAACTTTATAGTCTATTATATATTATTTCTGGTAAGAGTAGTATGATAGGCAATGTGGTCAGATATATTAATTGGAAGGAATTGAGTGTTACTTAGAAAAATTAATTAAAATGCTGATAAAATTTAGGGAAAAATTCAGGATGACTAGTCTGGTTAGGAAAAGAAGGGAAAACTTATGAAAGTAAAATTAAGAATCCTACATTCAAAACTGAGACCTGATGCAGAAATTTTTCTAGAAGCTTCTGCCAAATGCTAGCCCAATGCTTAGATTTTAATGTTTCCTGTTTGAAAGATAGTGAAAAAAAAGAAAAGAAAGAAAGAAAGAAGAAAGAAACAAAGAAAGAAAGAAAGAAAGAAAGAAAAACTTTAGTGTAAATGACTGAAATAAAAATAGTTCAACGACATCTGGGACTTCTCAAAGACAATACCTTTGGTGGAGAAGCTAATCATGAACACAAGAAACATTTAACAGGGAAAGCAAAGTAAGAATCTGGACTCTAAAAATTCACAATCATAACCCAAATATTACATTGATAGAATTGATATTTACATCATTTTGGCCATCTAATAATATGTTAGCAGAAATGAAAATAAAGATGTTCCTAGAATTATAAAAGTTTGAGAGACTTGACAGAAGAACTTCTACGTAGTATCTTGATAAATGCAGATTAACTTTCAATAAATTTCTATGACAGTATCAATTAAGCACACAGAAATACATGAAAAAGAATACATTGTAAATGGGAGGAGTTAGAAGAAACAAATAGTGCAAAGTTACATTGCAGGTCCTAGAAATACTAAAATTTGAATAATACAAGGGTATTTTTCTCCCTCACTCCCAGTCATGGAAGTCATTAAATTAGTAGGAGAAATTATTTAGACACTGGTCTACCTTTTCAGGTTCCATCCACCATTACAGAGGTCGGACCTCTTAAGTTCTTTTCCATGTGAACAGAGCCAAATATCTCTGGTCTACTCCACTGTAAACACCATTACAAGGAAGAACCCTGACCCAATTTGTTTTTTCTCTCGTGATTCGTTTTGAAACTGCCAGCAGGGTATAAGAGTGTGTGTATATTTGTAAGTGCTTACAAGTGACAGTCATTGCTTTGGATTCTATAGTCCTTACCATCACATTAGGTTATACAAATTTTTGTTTTGCATGGTTTGCTAAATTAATTTTTGTTAGTTTATCGATTGGAGCCAGTCTCCCTGTAAGTTCTTTCGCATTCATTTCCTTCCATCTCTCCTTTCTTTCCTTTTATTCTCATTCTCTCAATTCTCCATGTGTGCTCATCTTGCATATGAATGGCATCATTAAAGTATTTTTCTTTCTTTTACTTTTAGAGTACACGTGTGATTGTGTGAGTATATGTGTGATATGTTTGTGTATATGCAGCTGTCTATCAGAGTTCATTATTGCTTTTGCTTCTGCAGTCCCTTACCAGGTTTGTTGGTTCTTCTAACTTCATGGTTCTGTTAAGCTATTAATTAGATCTAATCTGCACTTATCTTTTTTAATGCTGTTTTCATTTATATTTTCTTCTGCTTTTTTTTTTTTCTTTCTATTCCTTCATATAACTTCTTGAACCATTCTTTCCTGCACCTTCCTTTCAGGGTATAGAATATTGTCATCATAACATGTTATTTTCATTTCTCTTTTATCTCTTTCTTTTATCAATATTTTTTCCTTTGCAATTTCCCCTGACCTTCACCATTACAATTCCTTTGTCATTTTCATTATTGATAATTTTTCGAACAATTTAAAAAGTTTCAAATTATCAACTCTATACATGGTTGATTATTTGAATATAGATTTTGCAGGTGTTTTATGCTAGCAATAGCGTGCTTCACATTGAAATTAGTACTTTGAATATATTGAATGGGCTCATGCATGCTGAATCACATCCAAAGTTATGCAAACATCACAGAACATCATCTACTTATTCAAAATTCCTCCACAATAGTGGCAAGATTTTCTACACCAATTGCCCTACAACCCTCAATATAAAAATGTAAGAATCACAAGAAAACAAGCAACCAGAAATCTCCAAATATTTTATTTCCTTAAAAGCAGATCCCAAAGACACTGAAGTTTCCAGACAAAGTATTTGTAAAACTAATAGTTAAGATGATTAAGTTATATCGCAGAAGATACAGTTCATCTGAATGAATCGATTAGTAAAATGGTCCATGAGTTTAAGGAAGATACAAACAAGCAGTTGAAAGAATTAAGGAAGACAATGAAGGATACAAAAGACAACTCTATTAGAGTTAGATGCTATAAAAGTAATTCAGCAGAAATCTTGGAAATAAAAAACTTTTGAGGCCTTACCTAAAATACTTTTTCCCAGATCGTAGGTCTTGAATATAATTTCTATATGTACTTTTAGTAGATTTATAGTTTCAGGTCTTAAAGAATTTAATACATTGTTCATTGATTTAGTGTGCAATATCATGTTAATTAGATGAAAAAATGAAATAAAAGAAATCTATATTTGAAAACAAGAAATTGAGTATTCTCTTTAATAGACAATATAATCATATGTATAGAAAATCCTGAAGGTTCTACCAAATACCCTTTAATCAATGAATTCGGTGAAGATTTAGGACATAAAATCAATGTACACATTCAAAAATAGCATTTCTATGTACTATTATGAAACTACTATAAAGGAAATCAAGAAAGCAATTGCATTTACAATAGCTACAATAAAAAAGAACCTGAATCAACTCAGCCAATGAGATCAATATATCAAAAATGAAGGTTAAAAAATTGATAAAAAATACTGAAGTGATACAAACAGAACCATATCTTTTGGTAATGTGGTGAAAGAATTCATGAAAATATATATATTTTCATTTTTTAAAAAATATGAGATGTATAGATGTCATTTATGTATATATCAGTTGAATTATATATCTTGTATAATACAGAAATATTATTTAAATATCATATAAATATCAATAGTATGTCGCTAGATTTTAATACATTGATATAAGTTTAATTCTTATTGGAACTGGTAATGTTGGATTGAATTAACTGCATTAAATCTAATGAAAGACAAAAATTTATTAAAAATGATGGAATTCATCTCTAAATATATCAGAAAAAATTCAACTGATTTAAAATAATGAATATTTTTAAATGAAGCTAAAGAAATTATAAATGTCTTTCAGTTACATTGATAACAGCCTTTAAACATGAACAATGGAAACTAGAAAATAATTATAACAAAGATTATGACATAGAGAATGAAAGAATATAATGCTTAAATTTGGAAATACAATATATTTTGATATTGTAATTATATTATACTGTTAAGTGAAAATATGCAAATAGGGAAAATTGATAGAGAGAATAAGCACACAAATATTAAAAAATATAGCTAAATCTGAAAAAAATGTATAAAAAACAACACATTTGTTTCAATTATTATAGCAACAAAATAATGGACAATACTTGCAAATATGTCAGTATATTTTTTAGATTTAAATATTGCTAGTATCCTGATACAGGGGACTCATAAATTATATATTAAAATTTTCATGTCAGATAAGTTTTTTTCTATGTTAGATTTTAGAATCAGATTTATGTCTAAGACTGTTATATAAACTGTTTCACTTTAGTAACATTAATTAATAAATACTGGCCCTCATTTTAAGAGTGTGCATTTTATGAAATAGGAAAAAATAAGTTACACTCCTTTTGTTAATTATGCCTCTTATAACTTTGTCTCTATAACTTTGAAAATGTATACGCAAATTTTCTGAATTAATTTTTCTTCTAACAGTGGTTTTTATACCTTCCTTTTCTTGTCAAAAAATTTGTTTTATTCTTTCATAGTTTAACTTTCTTAAAGTACTATAAGAGTTATAAGAAAAAGTAAAATGGGCTGGGGATTTAGCTCAGCAGCATAAGTGCCTGCCTTGCAAGCAGGCAGTCGTGAGTTCGATCCCTGGTACCGATAAAACGGAAAAAGAGGAAAAAAAAAAAAAAAAAAAAAAAAAAGAAAGGAAAAAAAAGAAAAAGTAAAATACATGAAAATTCTTGATGTTTATATATCATGATATGCTGCCTACTCAGCAAAATACACAGAATTCCTACCTTTATGATGGTGAAATTCTCTATTTATAACTAAAAACTAAAGTTACAGAAAATTTTGGTTTTAGAAAAATATGTTAAATAGATTGACTTGTTAGACTTTACATACACTTTTCTATAAAAATATTATTTTGTGATCCTTTGGTTCATGAGCGTAATGACTGAGTGCTTATGCTGTGTGCGTGAGATACGCCCACCTCAAATCTTGTTATGATGTCAGAATATTACCCATCTACTGTGAAAAAAGTGATACTTTGTGTGTTTCAGAGAATAGGAAGGAATGGCATTGGAAAAGAAAGACTTCAAATGTGTTTTGTCTTTTAAAAACCAGTTAAACAAGTTTGAAATCCAATGAAATACAAAAAAACTTTAGGTAGGACCTCTGATAGAATAAGGACTGAATAGTGGTTGCAAATTAAGCAATTATAAATCCATGTTTAATCCTCCAAGGTATAATGTGATGAAATTGGAGCACAAATGCACTGCTTAAATAGGACCCTGGGGACCCAAGATATTTAATGTGGCTTTTCTCTAAGGAAGATTGCACACTGAATTAAGTACAGTAATTAATATTTAATTTTGATTTTACTAAAATTTCCTAAGGTATAAATGTAAGTTTGTCTTTCAAGTTATGTTACATAATTTTAAATAACTTCTACAGAAACTGAATGCCTTTTATTAATTGGAGATACTAAAAGCCAAAATATGAACCAAATATTTTTCTATGTACGAAGTTTAATAACAGGATTATCTGAAAAGAAAACTACTTAAAACAAAAATTGTAAGATAATCCCAGCTGTAGTAAACATTAAAACATGTACACATTAAAACAATATTAATGAATAATGATAGTCAACATTAATTTGTAAAAGTAATTTGAAAAAGTATTTACAACTAAATTCCCTGTGTTAGTGTTTATATTCTATTTTAAAAGGAAAGTAACTCTGTGCTATGGTTTTATTGGAACCTGTGTGCTAATTTAAAGACACTGTTGAATAACTACACTGAAATATAAATAAGCATGTTTTCATACTCATTTACTCCTATTTGTTTTTAAATAGATTCTTAAGCAATTAGTCTGGTTATCCTTGAGGCCTCTTAGGGACATGTGTGTTAGAACTGACTGGGGAGGGATATGTTAGAGTACAGCTTAAATCTTCAGTGTCACTAAACACAACACAACCTCACAATGTCATTTAAAGAAGAGGTTGCAGTTAGTTATTGTTGCCTAATCCATTTTATCATTTCACTTCACAACAAAGAACTCACTGGTTAAAAGATCAACCTGATGAGTGTGGAGAAACCACAACTCAGGCCTCCACATGGCCAGTGATGGCTTTTTATCTAGATCTGCTCAGTGTCTGAGTGCAAGGCTTCAGGATTCAGGATTCACTTTTTTTTTTTTTTTGGTCTTTTTATTACAATATATTCATTTTTTGGTCTTTCTATTACAATGGTTTTATTTGTTGCCTAATTGGGTATCTTTGTTTATGTATGTGAAGGTTATTTAGAATGTTTGGAAGCATGGCTAAATTTATGGTTGATAATCTTCAATTCTTTAAATTCTATACAAATGCTCTTTTTAAATAATTGCCTGAAATGTGTCTAAGTTATTAACAACTTGCCAACTTCACACACACAGAGACACACTCAAAGACATAGCCTTTTCAGGTTCTCTAATCCCAATGTTATATTCAGGCTACAAAAACACATAAAAATTTGAAGCTTTCTATAGTGACTGATCCAGAATCTATCAACCCATAAGACTCACTCTGTTCACCCCACATACCACAGTTAACACACAAAAGTAAATGGAAGAGAATTATACCTTCATACTCAGTCAGCTGGATTTAGTTGGTTAGCCTTTTAATCCTAAAACAAGTACTCCAAAATGGCATGTGAAAAGAAAAAAACTCTCACATACATAGCTCTGTTTCTGATCAATACAGGAAATCATTCTCATAGTATAAATATTAATTTGGTTGCAGAATTAATTGAGTACTTGAGTCCATGTTTTAAAATTTTAAGCAATCAAAAACTAAAATTTATGGAATATTTATTATATGCCAGACAAAACAAACATCTATTTACAAAGCCCAGTGTCACTTGCGTTACTTTGTGAGACCTGTCTCAAAAAAAGAAATTTTTTGCTATACAAAAGACTGTATAATAAAAATCTTATATTGACTTTGATAATCTATTTACACCACCAAGATAAATTTTTAAAGCATAATTAGTACATTTGTAGCTTTTAATATTACACGTACACGCTTTTAAATTTGTAATAGTCTTCATAAATATTCGTTTAAATTAGATTTAAATGAAATTGTACAAGTGCTCTGATTTCCATAAACACTTGAAAACAGTAAATATTCTCAACCCTTTTTTTATTTTCCCTTATTACTTTTGAAATTACTTTGATTATAATTTATTGGTAAACTACTGATGGACTTATCCAAGCTTACTTGAGCCTGTTGGATATATGGTGATTAATTAGAGGACTGTAATTAAGGACATTTGGAAATTTAATATGAGACCAGAAAATAAATTATTGAAATAAATCTGAAAAGTATTGTTTCTTCCATGACAAGTGAGATTTTAATTAAACATATCTAAGTACTTTTTGTGCTTCAATCATTGTTCATGTACTGAAGATAAATTTATGAAAACATCAGACAAAAATTTTTTCAGACTTTATCATTAACTTTAGGTTATTGAGTACGTATTAGACTAATAAATTGTTACAACAGAAAAAACATAAAATATTGTTTCAATACTCAAGACAAATTTTTATTTTATAATCTTCTTTTATATATCAATGAATGTAATAAAGAATGGCCTTGTTGAACTTACATTCTATAACTAGCTATATAAAAATAAAAAAGCTCATTTGTTCTATTTATGTGATTGAACTTTATAAAATAATAGACTAAGACAAGGAAAGGTAGAAGGATAAGTGATACTCAAAGAACCACTTTAAACTGTTATGTCAGACTCATGAGTCTTTTCTAAGAAATAATATATAAATCAAGATGTCCTTGACAGAAAAGAAAAAGTCATTGAAGATTTTCAATAAGAAAGAATAAATAGTACATTAGGAATAAAATTAACACTTCGAGGTAAAAAAAAAAAAAAAAAAAAGAATGAGAGCTGTGTGTTGGTTACTTTTCTATCATTGCTGACATAAAATACCTGACATCCAAAATTAAGGAAGGAAAGGTCTAGTCAACTCACAGCTTGTGGGAATTGCAGTCCATATTCAAATGGCTTCAAGACAGGGTGGTATGGCAGAGGAGCAGCAGCTCATGGCAGCAGAAGACAGAAAAAGTATAAAGAGCAAAAAAGGAGAAAGATAAGAAGACCCTTTCTGTCCCTTCTATTGTATGTAGGCTGCCTATGCTAGGGTGTGTGTAGTGCTCACACACATAATCCCAGGTTGGACCATGAGTCAACCACAAACTGTAGAAGCCTGTTGCCATGACCACATGAGGCTTTAGGGGGCCATCCAGACACAAACCATAGCATTCTGCCTCTGACTATCTAAAGGCTCATGCACAACCTTTATCAAAAGGTATTTAGCTCATCTCTAAGAGTTGCCAAAATCTGAACAATTTCTTTCACTGCTGAAAATCCCATGTCCAAAGTCTCCTACAAAATGTAAGGCAAACTCTTAGCTGAAAGCTCCCACACACATGAAAAGGAAGTTAAACACTTCTAACATTCAGTGACACAAGATAAACATTACCATTCCAAAAGGTACATATGGAAATACGAAGGAAAAGACAAAACAAGTCCAAAATTCAGCATAACAAGCATTAAATCCTGTAATTCCACGTGGAACATCGAAAACAATATGCAGTAAATTGTGAGTTCCAAAAGACTGCACTCCTAGGACACTTCTGTTGGTTTTAGCTCCGAGAGCTTTTCTCTTAGGTCCACTCCACTCAATCCTTGCAGGTGTCCTCAGATGATCCACATTCCTGGATTTTACAAACTTATGGGTTCGCCACTGCACCTTTGGCTTCACACTCAACAGCTTCCCTCATTGAAATCTCATGGTCACAATGCCTGGCCTTGCAGAACTTGTTCTTAAATTTCATAACTGTTGCATTCTGTATGTACTTAAAGCCTGGGATATGTGGATGCTGCCGAGGTCTGCTGCCAGCTGAACAGTAGCCAGGCTTCCTTCTTCCTTAGCTACAGGAGTCCAGTGGCTAGATTACTGACCACTCTGAATCCAGTTCTGAGGAAAAATTCCCTGAACTACCTTCATTCTGGAACAAGGTGCTCTGTGGCTTTCTTCACAAAGTAGAGCCTTTCACTTTCGGAATTTGAAGGCCTCAAAGGATGGAGATTTGCTGCTTCTTATGATGCCCACAGGTCATCTTTTATATTGTTCTTATGCTTTGTAGCAATCAAGATCTATTCTGCTCTATCTTTGCATTCCACAGCTTTTACTGGAGCTTCCATTCTTGCCTAACTCACAACGTTTTAAATCATTCCCCTGGGCTCTTTGATCTTGATTTACAACATAAAGCTTGATTTACAACATAAATATGGTTAAAAACACCAACAACAGCCATGCTACTACCTCAACATTAGATTGCTTAGTAATTTTGTCTGCTAGATTAATAATATGACTAGTTGTGATTTCAGACTAAAATGCAGGGTGCAGAAGTATTATTATAGAAACAAGTTAAACTTGCAAAACTCTTACATACTCATCAATACACAACATTCAAATATTGTTTACCTTTATCCAAAATACAATAAACTTAAATTTTGTTATGCATTAGGTGAGCTTAGAAATTATTTTTTAAAAATACATAAAAATGAAAAAAGCAAAAATAAAGTATATTTCTCACTTTAAGTTAAAAACAGGAGCTTTGTCAACCTTCATGTGAGCTGCCTTTATTCTGCTCACAATACACGTAGTATAGTAACTTATAAGAAATAGTTTTTATTAGTAATTAAAATTTTATGATCTCCCAAGAAAAGTGGTAATAGAATGGGAAAAAAGGTCATGGAGAAGGAATTTAACTTCATTATTAGGCTTTTAGTTTTTCATTTTTATTAATGTGTCTGTAAAAGTTTTTCCACTAACATTAATTCAAATGTGGAAAGAATCTACACTTTAACCCATAACATGCACTCACTGAATAAATTTTGGAAACATCATCAAGTGCTATCTAGTTATTATATGTTCTTTTTAATGTTATAAAAACATAAAATTTAAT